CGCGCTGTACTGTCGCTGCCGGGCACGTGATGTACCGCACACTGCTCGCTTGGGAGGAGCCCCAGACGAGCCAAGTGGTGGAAGGTATAAAAAACGGCCGGCCACATCTGCGAATCTCCGCTCAAGAAGCACAAACCTGCGTCACGCTTGCCACGGAATGCAGTGGCCCGGTGCTTTTGAAGCTTTGGCGTAAGCTGGGCATAGCAACAGGTCGTGCCGAACACACAGCCATGCTGGAGCTTTGCAAGTGGATGAGTTTCCGGTACAAGAAAATTGTTGTGGTCACCGGCCCCATTGCTTCATCCTTCTGGGCTGCGCCGCGCAGCCTTGTCCTTGCTTGCCTTTTGCCCTGGGTGCTGGCTGTGAGCATACCCGCCTCGTCCAATCTTTGCTGTCGGCTCACGATGCATCTCTCGAGGTGCTCTGGTCGACCCGCAGAAGATTCAGGACCCGACATCCATATGCAGCCTTGTGCTTGAAACCCGAAATGACCCACGCGCAGCCCAGCCCCGTTACAGAAGCGGTGTAGAGAACATTCAAAGCTTGAAATGCAAGAAATCTCGCCGTAGTAGCGACGGCTTCTGCGCACAAACAAAAAGCCACATATTGGATACTTGACGTCAACCGTAAAGAACCAGCAGCATGATTAGATGCATTTTTGTTCATCCTGCGGCCTTGCGTGACCATGGCCGCCTGGTGCTCCCTCGCAGCGAGAATGCCACGGCTCGCCACAGCCGAACGCACGCAGACCAGAATCGGCGGGGAGACTGTCGACTTTGGACTTGAGGGATCAGGAAGGTGTCGATTTCGGACAGGCGGGATCAGGAAGGCTTAAAGCGGTCTTGCAAACCTTCAGAAGGATTTCATCTGAGTTTTATTACACGGTTTGCGCTAGAGAATCTTGCTGACAATTCTCAGAGAAGTCGTTCTGAAGCAGCAGCAGCAACAGCAGCAGCAGCAGCAGCAGCAGCCGCAGCCGCCGGGTATCTCTCCGACAACCGCTTCCGGTTAAACCATCACGAAGGTCTTGACAAAGCCTCCGAATGGCACGACCTTGCTTGAGGCCAGCTAGCTAGCTGAGCCGCGATCGTGTCCGCTGCACCTGGGGCGCTGCTTCGCTGTGGGGCCGCAGACGGCGATTCCACCGAAAGAAAACAAGTTCCTGCAGACTCTAACTAAAAGCACCCTAAACCCTAAACCCAACCGCGCCAAACCACGCGAAAAAAACACAAACCAAGCCCAACCGAGCCAAACCAAACGAAGAGAAAAAACCTTCTGCCCTCGCCAAGCCTCACCGCGCCAAGCCAGACGAAGAACACAACCGAGCCAAGCCAGACGAAGAGGAAAAAACAACTCCCCCAAGCCGCACTGAGCCACGCCAGACGAAGAACAAAAACCGAGCCAAGCCAGACGAAGAGAACAACATATTCTTCTGCCCCTCTCCAAGCTTCACCGAGCCAGGCGAGACGAAGAAAAAAACTGAGCCAAGCCAGACGAAGAGAAAAGAAAAAACTTTCCCAAGCCCCCACGGAGCCAAGCCAGACGAAGAAAAAATCCGAGCCAAGCCAGACGAAGAGGAAAAAAATAACCTCCCCCAAGCCCCCACGGAGCCAAGCGAGACGAAAGAAAAGAGCCGAGCCAAGCCAGACACAGAGAAAACAAAAACCCTCCGCCTAGGGTGTAGGGGCTTTCAAGGGTTCAGAAACGGTTTCGCAGGGTTGTTGCAAGGGTTCTATAAAGGTTTTAGGGGTTTCATCCCCACTTGAGGCCTTGAGTGGGGCCTTGAAATAAGACTTAATATGTTGTGCAAGCACTCAGGGTCTGTAGGGTGTCTGATCCTTGTTTCGGGTATGGGGCTTGGGACCGTGGTCATCGGGATTTGAGGTTCAGGCCCTTTAGCCTTGCCGTTCATTGTTTGGTTCAGACAATTTTATGGTTAGGATCTTGTAAGGAAACCCCAAAAAAGAACTGCAATTGGAGACCAAAGGTAAGGTAAGCCCCAAACCCGCGTATTTATGGGGGTGAAGGGTTTGCGTCTGGCTTGACTTGCGGAAGATAGTAGGAAATCAGAGAATGTAGCTCGTTCGCAGCAGCAATAGAGTAGGGCTGTCTACTATACAATAGGTTTGTGGGGACTACCAAGTGATAGTATTGAATTAAGTACTTATTTAGATCCGCATCGTAGCCAGAATCGCAGTAGCGGCCCCTTGTTTTGAGCAATTTCGGCAAGCCACAACCAAGCTTCTTCTCAACCCTAAGCCCCGAGCCCTAAACACGAACCTCTAAGAAACCCTACGCCCTGAATCGTAAACCCTGAAATTCCAAACCCCAAATCCGAACATCTGTAATCTTATTTCCGTAAGACCTCCTTCGCCACTCTCTGAGGCTTGGCTGGCGCACTTCGATGACACCGGGGAAGCGCAGGAGGAGGCCCTAAACCCTAAACCCGAAAAGCCTAAACCTTAAAACCCTAAACCCTCAACCCCAAAGCCCTAAAATTAAAACCCTAAACAGTGACGGGCTGCCGGCCGTTTCGGGAACTTCCGCCTTATTGAATGCCGAGACCCGATGCCACTGTATGCCTAATATCGGAGCCTAAACGATTGCCAATACCAATGTTAGCGGCGCCTTATTAACAGTAGTACTATTCGAATAGGGTTTCGGGAGTACATCATACTATAAACTATGGTATGATATACTCCCCAAACCCTGTTCTAACTATTAAGGCCCTGACATCAAACATTCCAAAACCCTCAAATCCCTAAACTACACTTCAGGTGTTAGACCAAGCTCGGCTTAAGCGCCTCTAAAGTGGCCAAGATCCTCCGTCCTGTGAGACTATAGGTTTTCGTCCGTCTTTGTCAGGCATGGGTTTTGGTGGCTAGGCAATGGACTTGTTGGATTGTATGAGACCTCGGGATGTATAGCGGGAAGATGCCAGAAACGACCATGTACCAAACTCTAAACCCTCAAACCCTCAAACCCTAAACCCTCAGCCCTAAACCCTCGACCGACAGAAACGCCATGCGAGCCTTGGCTTAAGGAGCATCCCTGTGCCCAGGCTTCGGTGTTCCCAGCACAGGGCCTTCAAGCACGGTTCTCCTCCTGTGTTTTCATGAAAGAAGAAATTCAAAATTGAGATACATACGGGATCTACGGAGAGTAACAGGGTTTCACTTCTTATGGTAACTAAAAGTTAAGTTTCAGTAAGTTAAATAGACTCCTCTAGAGAGCCCAGTAAACTCTAAACCCTAAACCCTAACCTCTGGTTCAACAGGCGCCTCCTCCACCTCCGCCGCCCCAAGTCCTTGCTTCTCCGCGCGCTGCGAGTGAGGATGGACCTCTTCTTCTGGGGATCGGGGTTTGGGGTGTTAGGATGGTGTTTGGAAGGTGCATGTTCTTGTTGTTGAAGTGTTTTTTTGCTTTTTGTGGTTTCTACGCTTTGAGGTTGCTTTCGTGTTCTGCCTTCTGCTGTTGTTTGCTTGTCGGTTTCTACATGTTTTTGCTTGTCTATATCTTTGCTTATCCGCTTTCTTGTCTCCGCTTGTCTGCTTCGCTCTTCTGCTCCTCAGCTCTTCGGCTTTTCTGCCTTGCTGCTTCTCTTTTTGCCATCCTTTCGGTCTGGTTCTGCTCCACTTTTCTCCTGTCCGCCCTTCTGGTTTTATTCTGGTCCGAAACTCTAAATGAGTTCTGAGACCCACCATTACTACTACGACGAGTACCACCACTGATGCTACTACTGATACTCGTACTGATACTCGTACTGATACTACTGCTGATACTACTACTTATACTATTACTGACACTACTACTGGTACTACTATTGCTGCTGCTGCTGCTACCACTACTACAACACTTCCACCACAGCACCCATAGCGTCCGGGGTTTCCGCTGCCTCAGCCTGGAAGGGAGTACCACCACCCCCCTCCATTGCTCTGACTTGGGCAGCATGAGAAGAAGGGAGCATGAGGGTCCTCTCTAGCCGGGCTTGTGTCGGCCTTTGCATCGCCAATCCGTTAGATTCGCTCCGCCAACCTGGTCGAGGTCCTTGGAGCCAATTTCCGCTTTATCTTGCATTGCTATGCGAATCTACCCCCCAAAGCCTTATATTTATTTCCTGACTATTCAGGTCCGTGTTTTCCGCGCTTTCCGCAGTTTGAAGGAGAATGTGCTGCTCTGGGATGAATCCTCAAGTAGTTCTCACACCTTTTTGTTGTCTTCTCTTTTGTTGCCGTATCTTCCGCCCCCTTACAATGCAAGCGACCCTGAGTAGCACTCTCCAAGGTCTTGCCCACAATCCGGCGAAATCGCAAAGCCACAGACCCCTCCCAGAGCTCAGAGCCCACAACCTTAAGCCCGCAAAACCATATTCCACCCCAAAAGGCGCAACTCCAACATCCTAAGCCCTAAACCCTAAGCCTGAAAGCCGAAACCCAAAAGCCTAAGCCCTAAACCCTAAACTCCCAGCACTCATCCGAGCACCTGGGCCTCATAACTAGTTTCGGAATCGGAGCTCTCAGTGTCCCTCAGATGTCCCCCACTTTGTGGTAGCCCTCTGTGGTGGTCTCGGAAGGTGCCGGGTGCTCCTTCTCCTTGTGGTCCTTCTTCCGGGGGCGCTCCTCCTTCAGCTCGTTCATGTCGGTCTGCAGGGTCACTCTATCAGAACTCGGGCCCTTCCTCGCCGTAGCCTTGTGACTGCTGGACCGGGTGCAGAGTCTCTTTGAGGAGACCTTCAGTCGAATCAGAGACCTATATTCATTTAAAATTGTCTATAATATCAGAAATTCAGAAACTTTATGTAAAATTGCCCATAAATTCAGAAACTAGCCGGAATCAGAACCCTTAAGTGCAGCAGCCTAAAGAAGAGATGGGGGCCTCTCGGCATGGATGCTAGCACTCAAGCTGAAGACCATAAGCCTCCATCGCAGGAATCGCCGAAGCAGTCCTTTTTACTTGAGATTCATCGTATAGGGCCCAGAAGAGCGCAGCGAGTCCCCGCCATGACGCTGATGGTGCCGCGCTCGATTGTGCTGGCGGCCATGGTCGTGAGTTTTACGCGAGGCTCGAGCGGGAACCCGTTGTAAGTCCATCCTCCTGCTGCTCTTCTCCTCCTACCCTCCTCCTAGTACTCAAATTGATGTCATGCTGACTTCCCTTGATCCTCATCTTTTCATCCTCATCCCCATCATAAACCCTGAGCCCGAACCTTGAACCTTAAAGCCCTGATGCCCTGAACCCCCAAGGGCCCTTGGCTACAAGCCCCAAATCCCCCGCTATAGAAGCTCCTTGCAGAACCCTTCAAAAAAACCCTTTGAGCCGACCTTAAACCTAAACCTCTAAACCCTAAAGCCTGAACTCTATAGACCCTATAGACCCTATAAACCCTATACACCGTATAAGTCCTATAAACCCTAACCCCTAAACCCTAAATCCTGAAGCTTAAAGCCTCAACCCTAACAAAGCCCGAATTAGGCGATTCTTGGGGCTTCCCAGGCACTGACAAGGTCTGCACCTTCGTGAATGAGCCGAAGACACCTGGCTCGGTTTCAGGTTTCTTCGGCTTGAGGTTTAGGGTTGGGGGTTTAGGGAAAGGTTTGGGTTTAGGGTTTAGGGGTCTATCCTTTTGCCTGCCTGTGCTTTATTCCCGCTCTTGACTTGCCGTGGTTGTGAGCGAGAAGCCGCAGGCCTTCATAGAGAGCCTAGGTAATCTAATGTGTTTTGGTTTCCCTGACTACAATTCTCTCTATAAGATGCCTCGATACCCTATTCTAGTTTCCAAGGCTGTCTGCAGACTTGCGGTTCGGAGGCAATGTAGGGACAGATGATAAGTAATACTATCCCTGAGGCCGCCTTAAGCTGTTTTCGGTGGGACAACGCCCCCCCCCAAGACAGTAGTCAATTTGTTTATGTAAGCCTCTGTCGAATTCGCGCGTGGGGGCCGCGGATTTAACACTGCCTTCCTTCGTGGTCAGGATACCCTACTTCTGGGATGAGAAATGCGTGGTGGAGCTGCTTGCCTGCAATCTCCAGATTTTCGAGCATCAATCCCCTCTTCCGCAGATGCAAGGTGACAGGACCGCCTAGGTCTGAGAGATACGTAGGCGGTTAGGATGATCGGATGATCTCGGAGAGTCATCGAATCTAGTTCCTTCATAGAAAACCCCGAAATATAGAGCCCTGTTAAAGAACCCTTCTGGAACCCGTTAAGGAAAGAAGCTTCAATGAAGACTAAACCCCAAACCCTGCACCCTTTCAAGCCTGTTTAAAAAGAAGGCTTTAATACAGCTTGTAAAGGGCCCGCTGAAGAACGCTAAACTGAACTAGCCCTATTGAAACCCTAAACCATTACCCTTTGAGGAACCCCAAACCAGAACCTGTAGCCTTAAAGGAACCTCAGAAGAACCCTTAAAGGAACCCTCAAAAGGGTTCCTATTAAGGAACCTAATGGGAGCCTTTTAGGAAACCTTAATGGAACCCCAAAAACCCCATAAACCCTAAACCTTAAACCCTAAATCCTAAACCCTACAAACCCTATAAACCCTAAACCCTGAGCCCTATGAGCGCTATGAGCCCTAAAAGCCCTATTCTAAACCATATGAGCCCTACAAGCCCTGTAAACCCTAAACCCTATACACCCTATAAGTCCTATAAACCCTAAACCCTAAACCCTATAAGCCCTATAAACCCTAAGCCCTAAACCCTATAAGCCCCATAAGCCCTATAAGCCCTAAACCCTATATACCCCAAAACCCAAAGCCGCAAACCCTAAACCCTCAACCCTATAAGCCCTAAGCCCTATAAGCCCTATAAGCCCTATAAGCCCTATAAGCCCTATAAAGCCCTGTAAAGCCCTGTAAAGCCCTGTAAGCCCTAAACCCTAAACTCTATAAGCCCTAAGCCCTATAAGCCCTATAAGCCCTATAAGCCCTATAAGCCCTATAAGCCCTGTAAAGCCCTGTAAAGCCCTATAAAGCCCCGTAAAGCCCTGTAAAGCCCTGTAAAGCCCTGTAAGCCCTAAACCCTAAACTCTGTAAGCCCTAAACCCTTTGAGCCCTATAAACCCTATAAGCCCGATAAAGCCTACAAGCCCTATAAACCCTATATGCCCTCAAGCCGCCTAAGGTCCCTGGGCTGCTGGGCGGATGGCGTCCACGCGCAGTGCCGCTTCTGCGGCAAGGCTTGGGCCCCAGCAAGTGCTTTGGGTTTAGGGTTTAGGGTTTAGGGTTTCGGGCAGCTTGGGGGTTATTAAGCGTGCCTTATAAGGGGTTTAGGGTTTCGGGCACCTGATCACCGGTTTAGGGTTTGGGGTTTTTGGGGTACCTGGTAGGGGGTGCTATATATAAGAGTTCTATACGGGGTTTTGTACGGGAAACCCACAAGATTGATCAGGGGTTACTCTGAGGGACGGAGTAGTGCGATTGTGTTTGCGTTTATGATTTTATGATTTCCGGATTGGTTTAGGGCTGTAGGGGTTTAGCATCTTAGGGTTTGAAAGGTGAAGGGTTGGCGGGTGGGGGTGGGTTGGGCGTTGGGCGTTGGGGAACCCTAGGCCCTAAGTCCCAAACCCTAAACGGTTTAGGGCTTAGGGCTAAATGGAATTGTCTGGACTTGAATTTGACCTCTGGGGGACTGTGGGGGTTGCCATGCGAACGTTCCGGATCATGGAGCCATCGTGTGGGCGGGTTGGGGCCTTGGATTTGTGAAGCGCTTGGAGGGCTTTCGGAAGTACTTGCAAGGTGCTTTGCAAAAATCATAGGCAGAAGCCGCGACCTTTCCCATGCCCTCCACCCCAAACCCTAAACCCTAAACCCCTAAACCCTAAACCTCTAAACCCTAAACTCTAAACCCCTAAACCCTAAACCCTAAACCCCATAAACCCCAAACCCCTAAACCCCTAAACCCTAAATCCCAACACTCGAAATCTCCCAGCCGCGAAATCCCTTCTGAAGTCTCCGAGACTCTGAAGCAATCGTAGCCCCCGGATCTTTTTGGGATTCTTCAAGGGTCCTGTAAGCGTGTTCTACAAGGGTTCTATGTATGGGTTTTATATGGGTTGAGGGTTTCCCTATTCTGAATATGTAGACCACCAAAATCCCAAACCTTGGCTACACCCATCCTCCCCCCCTCCCCCCAGGCTCCTTATGTGCCCATTGATTGCCCGCCGGATGCGACGGTCCCCCTGGTGAAGGCCCGGCCTAAACCTCAGGGGCTGATCGGATTTGGGTCATGATCACAAGCCCTCAACTCAAAAAAAGCACCCTATAAATCCTGAAGCCCATAAATTAACCCACCTTTGAGATTTCGAGGTCTGGGGTCTTGGTGTTCAGGGCTTCGAGTTCGTGGGGTCTTACTAGGGCAGGGCGTTCTTGGGACACGAGAGTAGACTTTCTCAGTCTTTCTCAGTGAGTGCCGACGGGGCTTTAGAGCTGTAACGGCTGAGGTGGTCCCAAAGAGCGGTGGAAACCCCGAGCCCCAAACCTGAAATCCCCCACACCCTACGCCTTACACCCCAGACTTCTGAGAGAGGGTTATGAGCCTGCGGAACTTCCTTTCAGGTCCTTCCGGAAGGTTTGGTTAAAAGGACTCGAAGAGCGTAGGCCTTCTGAAGATGGTGATATCCTGAAGTCCATCTGGGGCTGCCTCCTGAAGTCCTGTCCTGAAGAATAAGGCCCACATGTCAGATGTTAACAACGAAGGCAGCTTTATATTCAGGCCCACCGGGATTGGAATTTGCGTGGGAGGTGCGGGTTCTTTAGGCTTGTTGGGGTTTGGGACTGGGATTTCGAGACGGCAGAAAATGGTTTAGTGTGGAAGATTCGCGTTCATGGCTTCAGAGCATGGCAGCCTTGCAATCCCTGGTGGCGGAACTAGGGTTTAGGGTTTGGGATGGTCTTGGTTGGATGGAGAAGGGATTTCGATTAGGAGTGTAGTCCTCGTCGGTTGCGACACGAGCTGGGGCACGATTAAGCATGAGAGAGGGAATGGTGCATCGGGCTTCGGCAAGAATTCGTAGAGGTGCTGGTCAAACAAGAGCACCCTCAACCCTAAGCCCTTAAACCGAAGCTACAAGCGAGCACTGTTACCACCTATTCCCCACGCGCCCGAAACTCGTAAACCCCTCGATCAGCCAAGTGTTCTAACTTCGGGTTCTTGTTCAGGCACCTGGTGCTTGTATTAGAATTCCCGAAGGGCCCAAGTAGTCCTTATTTATGGTTTTTGGTACCCATAGAGGCCCCAAAGTCCTCAAATAATGACTACTTGCACCCTTAGGGATTAGTCATGACTAAACCGCACCCTGACTGTGAACCCCAATAAGTCCCGAACGAGACCCAGTGCCAGGAGTGCAACTTCAAGAACCCTCCGGTGCAGCTTCTGCTGCAATGATGTGAAGGCATTCAGGTAGACAGTGAACCTACACCAACCCCCTAGTTCCCCCAAAAGCATAAGGCAGAGCAACGCAAGACGCAAACCGGGACCCGTCATCCCTAAACACACTGAGCCCGATGTATCTGACCATTAAGCCTTCGAGTTGAAACTGCATGGACTTTGTAAAGGGAAGTCGAGCCTCGGTCGATTTGAAGCATAGCTATGGCTTCGGGTCTGGAAGTTATTTGAGGTTTAGGGTGTAGGGTTTAGGCTTGGGGCTTGGTTTTGACTAATACTGCCGGGGCTTGGGCCTTGCTTTGAGAAATACCCTGTAGTTGAAAAATCCTCTCGGGCAGTCGGGGGTAGGGCTCCTTTTCGAGTGAAGTTTTCATACCCCAGCCCTAAACCCTAAACCCTAAACCTCGGAAGTCCTTGGATGTTCGGTGTGGAATCGAATCAAGTCTGTCGGTGTTGGACGTTGCATAGAGGACTGCAGCAACCACCATCATGCGCATCATTTGTGCTTGTCCTTATCCCTGCCCATGAAAGTACGGGTATCATGTTGCTTCTCAGCGCCGCTATCATTATCTTCAGAATCGACATTCTCACCCTTGTCACCACAAGCATATTTTCGCTCTCACAACGTTTTCGTCATGATGGTGATGGTGACGGTAAAGCTAATGATCATAGTTATATTCATCAGCACTCCCCACGTATCACTGTCATGTCATAGCCAGGTCATCTTGAGGATCGTCGTGATCATCATGAAGATCATGACCCTTACCATCTCGGTGATTCTTGAAATCAGGGGTTCCTTTAGGGTTTTTCATAAGACCGCCGCCTTCTCTGGGCTTCCTACCAAGGGGCGCTAACTTAGAGAACTACCCATCTCCGCAACCCTAAAACCCTAAACCCTAGGCCCTAAACCTTAAACCCTAAACCCCGGCGTCAGCCCTGACACCCCGAAACTGCGAACCGGAGAGCAGAGGCCTAGAACCCTAGGCCTTGCGAAGTGAAACGCCTCGACAGCCCGAAGTTTAAGGCTTAAGCTCTCAAGACTGTACATGTAGGCCTCGAAGCCGAACACTTATACCTTCTAGATTCAAAAATCTTAAAGTTGTAGCTGAATATAGGCCTCCAACTCCAAAAGTTGATTGAATCTCAACCAAAATCCTCAGCCGCAAGCCCCGAAGCGAAGAAAATGGGCCTAGGACGCCCTTCTACTGGGAACCGGCATGCGTCAACCACCTGTTGGGCTGCAACGCGGATGGAGAGAAACTCGGACGTTCTTCGGATTTCCGGCTTTGTGCTTTTAGGGCTTATAGGGCTTGCAGGGTTTAGCTTGTAGGGTTTAGCATTTAGGGTTTAGGGTTTAGCGTTTAGGGTTGTCGGCTACAAATTCAGGACCGGGCAAGACAGACCGAGCTGTCCAGCAAAAGAAGCCGCGAGAACCCCAAACATAACAGCTGGATCGGTGCTCCCTAATGTAACCCTATAACCCTACCATGATAATGATAAAAGGTTTTGAGGGTGAAGAGGATTAAGAGGAGATCTTGCAGAGTTGTGATTGGGCCTCTGGGCGTCGTGGGATGAAGCGCATAAAGGGGTGTCAAGGGGTTTGGGTGCCTGGTGTGTTTCAGTGTCAGGGTCTTGTGTTTTGGGACCTAAACAAATAGGCGAAAGCGTGAAAATGCGGCGCTGACGGACAGGACTGAGTCTCTGAGTTTCTGGACGGCAAAGTCTTTCCTGGCTGAGAAACCCTGGAGGCTGAAAGACAAGCGCTACTCCCTGTTTGACCGCCACAAACAGCACAGCTCATGCAAGGCGGCACAGAAATGGGTCATCCAAAACTACGTTTTCCGATGCGGTCGCTATGGCGCGCACAAAGCCACCCATGTTGCGCAGATAATTGCGACTCCGCTGCAAATTCTACAACACCACAGCTCACAACTGTGGCTCCTGATTTACCTCGAGGGCCGCTTACAAAGCCCTTCATACTTAAAATGAGTAGTTTTGCGGGTATCTTCTTGTACAAATACCTTGGTTTTCATTCAGCAAGGATCCCTAAGCCCTAAGAGTAGTATGGGACATGTTTGGGTTCTTGGTAAAAGGTTTAATTTAAGTTACCATAATAAGGAAAGCATATTAAAGGCAGATTATTTACTATAGATCCCTATTATGGTAACTCAAGTAAAATCACTTAACAAGAACCCAGGTATTTAGGACCGAAGCTTAGTGGCATCATCTCGCCACTAGGGGTTTCCTGCTTAGCACGGTAGATGAGCCGAGTGTGGGATGGGCCCCCGGGCAAGATGCACATTGGGTTTGATGGTTTGGGTTTGGGGTTTCGGGTTTTAGGGTTTTAGGGTTTTAGGGTTTAGGGTTTAGGGTTTAGAGTTTTTGGGTTTGAGGGTTTTAGGGTTTAGAGTTTTAGGGCTTTAGGGTTTTAGAGTTTGGGTTTAGAGTTTGGATTTTGGGTTTAGGGTTTAGGGTTTAATGGTTTGGGGAGTTTGGGGGGGCCTAAACCCCTAAACCTTAACCTAAACAACTCTAAACTCTAAGCCCTAACCCCAAACTCTACGCCCTAAGCCCGACACCCCATAGACCCTCAACCCTAAACCTTTGTGCTTTAAGCTGTAGGAGTTTATTGGATCCCTGGGGTTCAGAGTTCAGAGTTCAGGGTTTAGGATCTATAGGGTTTAGGGCTTTAGGGTTTGGGGCTCAGGGTTCAGGATCCCTAGGCTTTAGGGGTTTTAGGGTTCAGGGTTCAGGATCTACAGGGTTCAGGGGGTTCCTAGCCATGCCAGGTCTTCCTCTTCGGATCTAAGGTTTAGGGCCCAAGGTTGTAGGATCTTTATGGTTTAGGGTTTAGAGTTGAGGGCTTAGGATCTGTCGGGTTTAGGGTTCAGGGTTTAGGCCTTTTTAAGGTTTAGGGTTTTTTTGGGGGTTAGGGTCTAGGATTGAGGGCGTCTAGGGTCTCGGCCTCAACTCGGAACCATGAGTGTCATGCTGACTTGCTCCGATCCCTCTTAAACGAGTTAAGACAGGAGTCGGAATCATCTGTAGTTCAATTCTGCCTTCTAGTCCCTGTCATGATTAGGGTGTAGGGTTTAGGGTTACCCCTCTCAAGTTGTCAAACTCGTTTTCTGTTTAGGAAGGCCCTGCGGCCAGAGACCCTCAGCCCCCAACCAGAACTTCCACATCCTCAACCCCTACATCGTCACCCCGAAGCCACGATCCCTCGAAGCCTCAGTGTCGCGCTCACTTGTGGATTCGATTGCGTTGTGTCTTTCCTGCAAACTGGACAGCAGCGTTACATTTCGCAGCCATGTCAGCCAGGACTGCCTGTCCATGCTTTGAGGGCCAGTCCGATAACAAGCCCCTGTTGCAGACTGCCCAAGAGCTTCTCGGGGTGATCAGCGCTGCCCTGGACGTCAAGTAGGGGTCGCGGGCCTGGCTGCTGCAGCCGCGAGGCGGTACCATAACGTGAGGCCCGTGGTTCGGCTCTATGACCGAGCAGGGCCCTTGGTGGGGGCTCGGGTGAAGATGAGCGCGGATCCATACTTCGCCCTGCACCAAGGGAAAGCCCTCATCTTGCAGGGGCGCAACAGGGAGGGCAAGACTACGTTGCTGTCCACCGCCCTGCCGTGGTACCATCGGCGACCTGTAGTAGTACTTGAACGGCGGACGCGGCAATGCGGTCAGCAACTTCCAAGACTGTCTCACGGTCCAGCTCTTCGGCTACACGAAAACCCAGTACACCATCAACACCATCATCAACACCTACACGGAGAAGCGGCGCCTGCGGGTCTTGCTACGCACTTGGGGTCTGCCGATCGCCCCGAAGCCGTGCTACGTCATTGTGGACAATTTCGAGAAGCTTCTGAGGCGATTTCCGGAAGAGGCGTTGAGTTGGGCGAACTCCTTGACCAACACTCAGGTTCAAGGCAAGGCGAAAGTAGTTGCGTTGTGAACTCGCATGCCGGCGCCCAGACGCTCCTTAATCTCAACCAGGGTCCCCGCTTCACCAAGTTGATCATGGAGCCTCAGTAGTAGACGACGGCTTGCACCATACCACGTAGCGAAGCCAAAATTTAAAAAGAAGAAAGGACAGCAACGCCAGTCCTTAGCTGAGTCTCCGAAGAGACTGGGGGCCCTGTACGACCTTAGCAGAGTCTCCAAAGAGACCGCGGGGCTGCTGGTCCTTAGCAGAGTCTCCGTAGACACTGCGAGCTACTGCAAAGCTCCAGTCCTTAGCGGAGTCTCAAACGAGACTGAGGGGTGCTGCAGCACCAGACCTTTGCGGAGTCTCCAAGGAAACTCAGCGCTCCTATTGAGCCACGTCCTCAGTGAGCAGAAAGATGCTCGTCAGCCCTGCCCCTGGCGGGGCGGCTTCGACTCATCCTTAGTAGGTTGAGGACTCGTTTCCGGATGCAACCGAGCTGAGACAGAACTGCATGATCAATGCCCCGCTGATCCCATCCCAAACGAGCGACCAGCACTGAACGGGGAGCAAGGCACCTGCGAAGGTCAGCAAACCGCGGACAAGGCCAACAAACATGCTGCAGCGACGGCACAGCGGTCTGGTGGCAAAAGGGACAAACATGGAGCCTCCCTCCGGCGAGGGTGCGGACATTGACCTGGAGCTCTTCGGCAAGTGCGGCCGGAACATCGGGCTGCACAAGCAGGTGCTTGCCGAGAGCAAGAGTGGCGCTATCGAGAAGGGCATGGAGGCGACCTTCATCCGAAAGCAGATCGCGCGCTGGGAGGTGGACTTTCATATCCCGTATCCCTTCAAGTATGACGCGTCTTGGAGAGATTTGGACCCTCGGCCTGAGAGCTCCGCAGCGGCCATGAAGCAGAGGCTGGGGCAGGAGCAAAGACTCCTAGCACAGAGAGGCCAGGACCTTCACGCCGGAGGAAGTGGAGGATCGCATGAAGATCGCTACGAGATGCTGGAAGTACTTCGGCGAGATGCAGGTTCTCGACGCCATGGAGCCCAAGTGGACGAGGATGCTGGTGAGCGCCGGAGCTTCAGAGCCAGTGGCGATGTCCCTGGCGGAGCACATCCGTTGCCTCATCGGCAACCCAGTGCCACAGAACGAGCAGGGCGAGGGCATTGCACAGGACTCATGCGTGTGAGAATCGGTGGCAGACAAAGAACCCCCAAGTCTGCTAAACCAGTGTTTTTACATTCGGCAAAATTTAGGTAAAAAACCTTGTTTTACACAAAAAAATTAGGTAAAAAAATAGGTAAATTGTAATGTAAATGTAAATTTACATTTGATGTAATTTTTTTACATGACAAGTATTTTTTTTACTTGCCGTGTAATTTTTTTACCTAGTGTTTTGCTTGCGAATTTCTCTTCTTTGGCGGCTTGCTTTGGCAGATTTACTTTAGTCTTTCATTGGGTATGTGGTGCTTTCGTGTGGCTGTCTTGCTTCCGAGATGCTTAGGATTTGCATGCCGAATCCTGACATGAGTCTGGTAGCCTGGTTACTTTCGAAGAAGCCAGTCTTACTTTCGATCTCGCCGCATTGCTTTTTCTGTGTGCGATCGTCTCGCCTCAGGCCTCTCGTGCACTCGGTCATGTGTCGAAAGTAAAATGCAAGTCGTGCTTCCAAGGTAAGATGTCCATGTCTCCAAAGTAAGATGCACTTGGTCATGTGTCGAAAGTAAAAAAACAAGTGGTGCTTCCAAGGTAAGATGTCCATGT